TACTGCACCCTGACGGCTTAGTCCTTGTGACCCTTCTGTGAGGGGGTGTCCAGTTGTCAGAACATTTTCTCCTCCTAGTCATTGTTGCTAGCTCCCCGTCCCTGCACACACACCCCATCCTCACCTGCCGGGCTCCTGTCCAGCTGGTGTCTCTCAAGATCGACCTGACCCGGGTTTCAGGTAGAGAAACTCACATAAGAGACAAACAGAAGTCCAACAACGAGCACAAAACCCCGCACATCGAGAGAGAGTGGACAATACTACACACGGAAGCAAAGGGAGATGAGATGATAGTGTGATATTTCAGCCGGACGGCCTCTGCCACCGTGGACTGTCCACTGCTCTCTGTGTGACAGCGTGGCTGCTCTCCTCCTTTGACCATGGTCAGGAGGGATATCTACTAGAGCTTGAGTTCACGTGGGGACCCCGCAAGTGGATTTGGGGCCTCCACTCCCATCCACAGTCTCTTGCAAACTGGATATTCAGAAGTTAACCTCTGACGCCGCCACCACTAGCCCCCTTCAGACTCGGAGTGTATTAGTCACACTCCTTGGATCCCACGGGCTGGTGTGGGTCTTCTCTGTGAACTTCTGAATACCAAGGAGATTTCTTATGCAAAACCAAACCCAAAGCAGACTGAACTCCATTGAGCAGACTCTGACTCCGGGGGCTCTGCAGGCCAAAGTAGATCTGCCCCACGGGGGTCTCCTCTCTCTCTCTCTCCATCAGGAATTAGGTAAAGTTTTCCGGAGCAGAGAGAGTCACCCGCTGAGCATTCAGCAATTGGCACACATTCGGTTTCAGCTCATACATGACCATCCCCTCAACGCGACCATCTCTCACCCCACTTCCTCTCTTATTTCCTGGTTTGATCCCTCCCCCACCCCCACCCCAACCCCCAACCCTCTGTGTATTTTGCCCTTGGATAATTGCTGGCTTTCTGTCCTTAAACGGTTGACTGTTGTAACACTGGAAGGAGTTCAGCTCTGGACCGGAAGGGTGACTAAGAAGGGCCATTGTCTTGCGGGTCCACCGGCCGGCTCGCTCTTAGGATTCTGGGGGTTCATCCCACAGGTTTCTCCCACTCCATGCGGGACCTTCTAGGGCAGTGGTGCTCAACCTTCCTAAGGCCGCGACCCTTTCATACAGTTCCTCATGTGGTGGTGACCCCCGCTCCCCCACCATAAAA